TGTCATCTCATCTGGTGTCTTGAAAACGAATTAATTGCCTTATCAGTTATGTAAACGCTAACTATTTATTGTCGGGTATGGCTAGGCCTAGCTAAAGAATTGTGCTTCACTTATAAATCTAAGAAAATCATTCCTCGCTTAGAAACAAATAAATGTGGATTCTTTCACGAGATTCTGTTTTTGCTTACTTCAACTGGCTTCAAACATGTCTCTCTTTAGTCTCTGTGAGTGATAGTGGATGTGGTATGTGATTCTTTGTGTCAGTGGTCAGTGATAGGGGATGTGTCATGTGATTCTTTGTGTCAGTGGTCAGTGATAGTGGATGTGTCATGTGAGTCTTTGTGTCAGTGGTCAGTGATAGTGGATGTTTCATGTGAGTCTTTGTGTCAGTGGTCAGTGATAGTGGATGTGTCATGTGATTCTTTGTGTCAGTGGTCAGTGATAGTGGATGTTGTATGTGATTCTTTGTGTCAATGGTCAGTGATAGTGGATGTGGTATGTGATTCTTTGTGTCAATGTTCAGTGATAGCGGATATGTCAAGTCATTCTTTGTGTCAATGGTCAGTGATAGTGGATGTGACATGTGATTCTTTGTGTCAATGGTCAGTGATAGTGGATGTGACATGTGATTCTTTGTGTCAATGGTCAGTGATAGTGGATATGTCATGTGATTCTTTGTGTCAATAGTCAGTGATAGTGTATATGACATATGCTCATCTTTATCAATAATCAAAGATAATGGATTTGTCATATAATTGTTTGTGTCAATAGTGAATGATAGTGCTTATGTCATAAGATTGTTTTGTGTCAATAGTGATAGTGGATATATCCAGTGTTTGTTTGTGTCGATGCTGCCATTGATGGTGAATATAGTCAGTGTTTGTTTGTGTCGACGATGCCAGAGATGGCGAATATAGTCAGTGTTTGTTTGTGTCGACGATGCCAGTGATGGCGAATATAGTCAGTGTTTGTTTGTGTCGACGATGCCAGAGATGGCGAATATAGTCAGTGTTTGTTTGTGTCGACGATGCCAGTGATGGCGAATATAGTCAGTGTTTGTTTGTGTCGATGATGCCAGTGATGGCGAATATAGTCAGTGTTTGTTTGTGTCGATGCTGCCAGTGATGGCGAATATAGTCAGTGTTTGTTTGTGTCGATGATGCCATTGATGGCGAATATAGTCAGTGTTTGTTTGTGTCGATGCTGCCATTGATGGCGAATATAGTCAGTGTTTGTTTGTGTCGATGATGCCAGTGATGGCGAATATAGTCAGTGTTTGTTTGTGTCGATGCTGCCATTGATGGCGAATATAGTCAGTGTTTGTTTGTGTCGATGCTGCCATTGATGGCGAATATAGTCAGTGTTTGTTTGTGTCGATGATGCCAGTGATGGCGAATATAGTCAGTGTTTGTTTGTGTCGATGATGCCAGTGATGGCGACTATAGTCAGTGTTTGTTTGTGTCGATGATGCCATTGATGGCGAATATAGTCAGTGTTTGTTTGTGTCGATGCTGCCATTGATGGCGAATATAGTCAGTGTTTGTTTGTGTCGATGCTGCCATTGATGGCGAATATAGTCAGTGTTTGTTTGTGTCGATGCTGCCGTTGATGGCGAATATAGTCAGTGTTTGTTTGTGTCGATGCTGCCATTGATGGCGGATATATTACATGTTAGTTTGTATCAATGTTCTATGACGTTTGTGTTTGTCGATGGAATCATTGCTGACGTTCTTTGAACAGGTTATACAAATAATTATAAAGGATTCTATGCAAATCTACCTGAATGACTCTATATATACCTGCTATAAAACGAGTACTGGTTGCCTGGATATGGAGCTCTGGGTCAAGGTCTTTTTACCTCGGAGCTTGAGCTGGTAAATTTGCCTACTGCTCCAAGATTTAAAAAAAACAAAAAAAAAGCAATAAATTAATTTTAAAAATCGCATTTGAGACACACAAATTTACATGTTACTTTAAAAAAAATAATTGTTTCCCCTCTCTTCTACCAGCTATGTCCCCCCTCTTCTCCAGCTATGTCCCTCACTCTTCTATCAGCTATGTCCCCCTCTTCTCCAGCTATGTCCCCCACTTTTCTACCAGCTATGTCCCCCACTCTTCTACCAGCTATGTCTCCCACTCTTCTACCAGCAATGTCCCCCATTCTTCTACTAACTATGTCCCCGACTCTTCTACCAGCCACTTCCCCATTCTTCTAGCAGCCATGTCCCCCATTCTTCTAACAGCTATGTCCCCCACTCTTCTACCAGCTATGTCCCCCACTCTTCTACCAGCTATGTCCCCCACTCTTCTACCAGCTATGTCCCCCACTCTTCTACCAGCTATGCCCCCCACTCTTCCACCATCTTTGTTGCTAAATTCTTCTACCTGTATTATTTCTGTTACATAAATTTGCAATGCCTATCTAATACGATCGATAGATGACAATAATGAACACTTGTTAGACACGTTTAACCTCTCACTAGCATGAGCTTTCAATAAAGTGTCCTTAGCCGGGCTAGGATAAAACAACGAAAACACTGCTCAAAATCCTTCATTAGTAGGTCATATAAGCAGAACACCAGTTACTGAACTATCTTTATTTTACTTATCTCAAAATATAATATTATAATTTTATTATCTTCTCAATCTAGATTAATTGAGGCTAGTTTCGAGTTTGCAGCTAGGAGGTTATATTTTCTCATTTGCAATATGAAGTTATTACTGTTATTACTGAAGATCTTTAACGATAGCTGAATTCCCGTTTTTGGTTTTGATTGATCCAAATCTATAGACGATATTCATTCAGCAATTTTGAACGATTTGTTAAAAGTTAATCGAGACTTTTAAAAATAATTAATAATGTTAGGTCACTGGCTGTCCAAAAAGGCCAAGTGATGGCATCAAATGACATCATTGCGTGAGTTGATTTTACTGTTTAAGAGTAGATTTCCAGTGCAGCTTTCGCTATTGTCACATATTTTGATCAGATGAGAATGCGTTGCAAAAACCGAAAACACGTTTAGTCTAATACTGGATGCCTGGAACCGTTACCGGTTTGGAAAAAAATAATAATCTGATAATAAAACATATAGTTATGAACTTGGGTTCCTAATGAACATGCCATTAACTTGATTTGTTTAACAATAACAATTTATAAACAATGTGTAAAGAAAGAAGAATCACAGACAAAACAAAAGTGCGAAAAAAAAAGGGGGGGGGGGGGTTAAATATAGTTGTTTTTTTTCTTTTAAAACTTTAGTAATATTTTGTTCCCTTGTTTTGCTTTCATTAACAATAACTATCTGGTGCAGACTAGCCAAGATTCAAGTAAGAACGCTGACATTNAAAAAAAAAAAATAAAAAAAAAAAAGAAAAAAAAAAAAAAAAAAAAAAAAAAAAAAAGTGGGAAAAAAAAAGGGGGGGGGGGTGTTAAATATAGTTGTTTTTTTTCTTTTAAAACTTTAGTAATATTTTGTTCCCTTGTTTTGCTTTCATTAACAATAACTATCTGGTGCAGACTGGCCAAGATTCAAGTAAGAACGCTGACATTATTGACTATGACTAGCCTAAGATTACTATCAGTTTAACACCCTGAGACAATCTGTGACTAGGCTGTACAATGGGAATACGTTGATCGGTTCTCAAATGGAGATGAACATACAAACTTTCCACAATAAACAAGAACCAATTGATAATAGCCCTTGACTGCGGGTAGTTGCCTCATCAGACGACTGCTGATAGTTGCCTCATCACATGACTGCTGGTAGTTGCCTCATCAAATGACTGCTGGTAATTGCCTCATCAAATGACTGCTGGTAGTTGCCTCATCAAATGACTGCTGGTAGTTGCCTCATCAAATGACTGCTGGTAATTGCCTCATCACATGACTGCTGGTAATTGCCTCATCAAATGACTGCTGGTAGTTGCCTCATCAAATGACTGCTGGTAGTTGCCTCATCAAATGACTGCTGGTAGTTGCCTCATCAAATGACTGTTGGTAGTTGCCTCATCAAATGACTGCTGGTAGTTGCCTCATCAAATGACTGCTGGTAGTTGCCTCATCAAATGACTGCTGGTAGTTGCCTCATCAAATGACTACAGGGACTGATCTTATCAAAGGCAAGTGTTTAGAACTTTTTTTTTATTCTATCGCGTGTTAATTTGACATTTCAACCAAAGAAAAATTCAATTCAAAATGTATTTGATCACGATACACCTGTGTTACCTGCAGTGAAACAGACAGAAACCAGCAGTGCAAAAATATGTGTGTGTTATTTTTTAAGATAGGCATTAATTGGACAGATACCGAGTTTAATATTACTATCCACCTAAAAGCGAGAAATTTTATTGCAACACATAGCATGAAAAATTTATAACGAATGATACTCATATGAAAGAGATGGAATATTAGTTTTGCTAGTATGTTTATTTATTTAAGTTTACGTTTGAGTATTGTATGTCTACTGTTTCAAATCGATATTTTTTCGTTTATTTCTGTTAGTAAATTATTTCGTTCATTTAATAAAGATCCTAGGTATTTTGAATTGATTTACTTTTTCACAAATGTGGTTTCTAATTTTAATAGTTTTATTTTTTTTTTTGGTGTCTAAACATAGTCCTGTTGTTTTGGGTTTTTTTACTTCCTCTCCAGCTTGTAGCGATGCGCCTTCTAATTAAAAAAAGATTTTGATATGTCTTCTACATTTCCCTAACAGTGATATATCCTCGACGTATAAAAGATAATGAAGAGGTTGATGGTACAGAGTGCCCATTGGTTGTGGGCCTTGGTTTTCCCTCAGAAAGTATCCTGTTATTGTTCCTTGGTTGTCAATATCTATGCTTCTTTTAACTCTCTCTAATGTTAGGTTAAATAGCATACATACATATCCGGTGGTAGAATGGGTGATCTAAAATCTATTGCGCATTACTTTTAATTACAAAAAATGTGCACTCAAAATAATATTCCCCTTGTCGTCGCAATGCAAAACACTTCTGCACCCAATCGCACAACTATATTTATGGGTGCGATGTTGATTAGGGCAATGCATTTAGCGGTAAAATTGAACAGTAAAATGTATATCCCTCATCTGTTAGCTTTTAGAGTCATTCGCTGTGTCATTGTATTCTACAATTGAATAGGTCAATTTGTTTCGCTGATTTGTCATAGAACGACACCGAGTTTGTCTCCACATGGGGTGAGATTTAAGCATACACATTTTTTTTTTTTGTACCGAAGTAATACTCTCAGCATAAAACGATTTCGCTTATTTGACCTCCTAGAAAACGCAAGCCCCGTAAACTTTGATAACTACGTCATCACTTTTTGTGTGTGATCATATAAGCGTCACAGGACATATTTCCCTTTGGCGATGAAATAATGGCGTTTACAACGGCACCAATGCGTTGGTACGACTGACAAAAAAAACTTCATGGTGACTCGATGAGAGAATCATGGATCCCGGCAAGCTTGAAACCGAGGCTGATAACCACAACACGAACCAAAATGAAGCACCGGCCGGAAGCCGTGCCAATCTAATGACTGAACAGTTTCAGGACTCGACCTTTTTGACTCCTTCGAACACAGCTTGCCAGAACCTAGAGGTAAATGTTGACATCGATATAAAAATAGAATCGAGTTACGGTGTATCGGTACCCACAATAACGATTAGCCCCGCCTCTCCGTGCAGTGGCGATGTGCTCTATGACAGAGATGATTACAAGACGTACGAGCACGGCGCAAGTGAACCCCACCAGAAAAATGTTGAAATGGATCTGTTGTGTACTCCCCCGTGCGATACGGCGTTGAATATTTCAACTCCAACTAGCGGACACGCAGATGTAAGCTGCGGGCTAGACGTGAATAACGATGAAGACATTGAAGTGATATGTCGCTATTCCTCGACGCCGATCATGTCGACCGCCAGGGGCTATAGCATGGATGATACAGACTGCAGCATGCTGTCTTTAAACAACGCCAGTCCGATAGCACAGGCAGACAGTATGCTTAATCCGTCAAATCTAAGTGTCAATCAGTCTATGCCCTGTGATGTAGGGGATGAAGGTGCAGAGAAATCCCAGTCGAGCAGTGACCAGCAGGCGCAGAACGACATGCTGGTCCATCATCAGTTTCTCTGTCAACACCCAGGGCAGACGATGATTCGACGCGACGGTGCTAGTGCCCAGAGCTCCCAGCAAGGTTATGACGCCGGGCGGAATATCAACCAATGCTCTCTCCCAACGGCCCTCATCCTGACAGGTGCGTGCTCCAGCAACCCAAACGTGTACTCCACCTACATGCCCGGGTCCGGCGCGTACAATGATTACTTCCCTACTCGTGACAATTCTTGGACGGACTTGAGCTACCGCTCTGACCTCTCACCGGTGCCTCCGCTATCCTCAAACCAGGCCGATCCTTGCTGCTACTCTATGATGAGCGGGGTCTCCACGGAGACAGACTACTTTGTTTATCCCTCAATCTACGTGTCCAGCGCCGGACTCATCTCCGTCTTGTTGAGGAATGACATGTCCGTTGAAATGACGGTCGATCGCACCATTCGAGTCGTGTCTCACAACCACATGATGGCCGTGGCCACCGACAGCCGAGGGACGGCCGCCTGCCTGTACCATCCGGCCGTCAAGGTGTTCCAGATCGGGACCACCACAGACATAGCCACTCAGAACTTCAGGGCCCGTATGGGAGGCGGCGATGCCATCGTTTTTTCGAACGGGATCAACTTTTTCAAGCTTGAAGACTCGGAGCTGCAGCCGACGGCGCCGATAAAATTCACAGATATTTTACGAGATCAGTCGGTGAATTTACTGTTTTCGTCCGAAGGCTACGGCGAGTCTCTCGTGGCAAGCTGTATGCAGGTGGCAGCACAGGCGGAGTACGCCAACCTCCCGAAAGGTGGGGTCATCGTCCGCATCAACGGCGTCAAGGTCACGCAGACGGGAGGCGGTGACGTCACCGTTGTCACCGGAGCGAAGTTCATTCGTCTGTCCCCGCACTTTGGCACGACCCGGCTCGGCAACCGTTTCGTCGACATTGAGGTGGAGAAAGACTGGACCGTGAAGCTGACCCGTGGATCCCACAGTTTTGTGTACTCCAAGAAGCGAGCAATGGTTTGTAATGGAAAGATGGAGGCCGGCTTTGATGAGAATAACGGTTTGAAGGTGACCAACTTGCAGCCCCGCCATCCACTTCTGGCTGAACCATCCGTCGTTCGGCGCCCCGTCAGGAAGCCCGTGAGGGTTGCATCGAGTTCAGGTACCCCAAAACGTAGGCCGGGTCAACAAGGCGTAGGTCGTGGAGGTGGTATGATGTAATTCAACATTGTTTTCTCCCCTTATTTTTACGATTTTATTATGCTAACGTGAAGTACGAAAACTATGCATATTTACTATTTAAAAAAAAAAAAAACTATATTATTAATTTTGTTTTGATTTCGAGATTGTAGTTTAAATAAAATAACAGTCAGCTTGACATCGACTCAATATGACAGCACCAGTTGACTTTCTTGAACGCTATACATAACTGTAACATGTGGACCATATATCAATGACGACAACATGGAGATATATCCATTAAACATTTTGTTACATATTTTGGCTGGCTATTTAGGCCAATCACAGGAAATGTCTTTACAGTATTGGCTGTGGTCTTTTGGTTCATTGCTTAACATACTTAGTCCTCAGTGACTACACTGCTGATGTTAGGATCATCTCCCCCAGAATGGGTCTGTTATTAAAACTAGTTGTCATACTATTTACAAAATACTGTAATGCATTTTTTTACTACCTTACTGCATTAAACTACTTCGCAGAAAGCTTTTAAATCAGCAGTTCTCAAGTTAATGTATTTAGTACCTCATATTCTCAGGAAACGAGAATTTTTATTTTTTTTAATATTTTTTTCTTTTTGCCTCATCAGATAAAATACAAATTCTATTCAAGAGAGAATATTTCCTTAATTTTTTAAATGATATTATGAGATAGGTGATTTAAATGATATTATGAGATAGGTGATTTAAATGATATTATGAGATAGGTGATTTAAATGATATTATGAGATAGGTGATTTAAATGATATTATGAGATAGGTGATTTAAATGATATTATGAGATAGGTGATTTAAATGATATTATGAGATAGGTGATTTAAATGATATTATGAGATAGGTGATTTAAATGATATTATGAGATAGGTGATTTAAATGATATTATGAGATAGGTGATTTAAATGATATTATGAGATAGGTGATTTAAATGATATTATGAGATAGGTGATTTAAATGATATTATGAGATAGGTGATTTAAATGATATTATGAGATAGGTGATTTAAATGATATTATGAGATAGGTGATTTAAATGATATTATGNTAAAGTTGTCATTGATAAAATAATAAACTTTTTTGAGTGTTTTTTTTTCTTTTTTTTTTTTTTTTTTGGCTAGTCGATGGCAACTAGGGCCCATGGAGGGAAAAAAAAACGAGATGAGACCAACAAAAGTAAGTCCAAAAAAAAAAATAGTCCCCATCTACAGCTGAGACTTAGCAACAGCACAAAATCAATTTGTAAATTATTCATAATTATTACACATTTTATAATTAAATAAAGGTGTTTGATAAAGAATGTATAATTACGACTTTTCATCCATTTATTTTTATTCTTTACTTTATAGTTTTTAATATTTTTGTGCAGATTTCTTTGGATTTGTACTTAATTTTTAATGTCGAAGTTAATTTCTGTTGACTGCCTCCCTTGTCAACCATTGTCTTACCTTTTCCACCCACCCCAGATGATTTTCTTTGCATAATTAATGCACTGTCCAATAGAATTTAAAAAAAAAAACTATTTAAACTATAGAACATGTTAAGATTAAAAAGTATAATGTTACAATATAATGATGTTGTTTGAAATTTAAGTAGGGGGTAACGGAACTTGGATAAATGAAAAATTAAAGGAAGTCCCAAATATTGAAATGAACCCAAAACCTAATACTTATGGTTGTAATACTAATTAATAGATGCAGATCAGGCTCAGATGGCAGCGTTCGTATTTAATTTATTTTCATAGTTTAGTTTCCTACTGTATTGACTAATGGCCCATAAAGATGTGGAAGGCATCCACGGACTCCAAACTAATTAAATTTAACTTTAGGATTTATCAACAATATTATTTACATTTTAAAGTCACCCGTATTCATATCATCCATGAGAATAGCTACTGTACAATTTTATCAGTTTATAAGACACTCAAGAAAATTGCATTTGTTTTGATTATTTGTCTCATATCAGTAATGTATTTTTAACTTTCACATATCAAAAAAAATATTCTTTCACAAAGGTTCTTTTTTAAAATTATTTTTTGTCTCTCATTATTTTCATGAGTTTGAATTAAACCATGTTGGAATACTTAGTTAAGTTAGTAATACTGAAACTGATAATAATGATCAATGATAGATTTTGATCGATTCTTTGGTTTAAGTTACTTAAATTTATTTAGTATTTTGATATACAAAATCAACTATAAATGTTAATTAGGCTCTTTATTGTTTGCAGTTGGATATTCTTTTGAGCCCAATAAATTTGTAAACTCTCAATAAGCAAAGTAACATTCAAACAGACCACCAATAAAAAAATAAGCAAACAAGTGAATAGTGTTATCTAAGACAAGTTTACTTCTACTTCTCACACTTGGCAACTATATAAAATTGTTTTTAAGAAGATCAATAACAATAGATTTCATAACAAAACCATTAAACTCACTAGAGGACAATCACACATTTAAACAAAATTTTATATTTACAAGTTATATAAAATAACAATCATTAGAGGTTGTAAATGTAAAAATTCAACTGAAAAAAAAGAGCATCAATAAAACTTTCCTCAAAAACTAAACGTATTATTAAAGATTTTACAAGTAAAATTATATGTAAAATACATTTTCACTGAGGTTTATCTACCAATAAAATATTTTAACCATAACATGTTTATTTTTTAAAATGGAAGCAATTTAGAAAAAAAATAAAATCTGAGGTGTTTGAAAAAAAAAGCAACTTTTTTGAGTTTTACTTTTCGAAACATTCGTCATTTCCAATGTTTTTGTGGATCCACATTTTCTGTTAATACCAAAATACCCTTGCACTACTCCAGCAAAATTATTAGTCAAACACCACATGGCTGATGCTTCTGTTCAACATCAGGGACCACACTATTTTGTTGTTGGGGTTTCAGAAGACTTCCAATCCATGTTAGGAAGATTTAAATTGTTATTTAAATGGTAACAAGATATTTTTTTTCTTATTGAATAAGATTAAATTTAAAAAAAAAAAAAAATCCAAGATATCTTGATATCAGCCAGTTCTGTTCAACATCAGGGACCACACTATTTTGTTGTTGGGGTTTCAGAAGACTTCCAATCCATGTTAGGAAGATTTAAATTGTTATTTAAATGGTAAAAAGATATTTTTTTTCTTATTGAATAAGATTAAATTTAAAAAAAAAAAAAAAAATCCAAGATATCTTGATATCAGCCAGCTAGTTACTGATAGACAATTTACTGACAATGGTTGTGTCTCTTTTATTTGATCACAAATAATTAAAAATATAATACAATGATAAAAAGGGAAAGAATAATTTTTGTTGCAAAATTCATTAATTCTCTTCATTTTATCAATTTAAAATGATTAAAAAATGTGTTATAAAATCATTTAACAAAAAAACACTAAACAAATTTTTTTTTTAGTTCAATACCAACATAGGAAGAGAATAAACAAGATGTTATTCCAAAATTATGATCAAAAGATGCAATAGGTATACTTATATATGCTCTGTGAGACTAGAAAAATTATTTATGTACCCTGCATTGTACACTACTATCATGCTTAGACTTTAATCCCAACTACTATGTTATTGATATTGTTCATATTTCAAAATACTATATCATATTACAAACATGTTATTATTATAGGGGTTATAGATTATGAATTTATAATTAGACATCCTGATGTGTCCTAAAAAGTACAGTCTTTAAAATTGAATCACTCTCTTTTCATTCTTGTTTACATTGAATGATTTGTAACATGGTATGAATTTAGTATGATGAATGATATCAAATTTTTTTAAACTGGTAGATCATACAATTTTAACGAATCCGCAGCTATCAAAGTATTGTGCACAAATAAAATATATATTAAAAAAAACTACGCCATTTTTTTACTTGTATATTGCTGTTAACTATAACAAAGAATGTCTTCCTTGATACGAAGTTGACACAGATAAATATCAAAAACAAGAGTGACATGAAGTAGCATATTTTAAAAGAGTATTTGCCCATGGAGTAGGAAATATTTCAACAAAGCACTGCTTTATTTTATTAGTTGGTGACATTTATAACTTTGGGAGACTTTCTTATGTGACTCCAAGGGATACTTCACAAATGTTTATCATCATAAAATATTCATTTAAAAGTTATAAAAATAATTAATTTGACCTAACTCTTGATTATGATAAAAATATAAATCAAGGACATTCATTATGATGGAAAAAACAATTGTTTCTTAAACATATTAAAAAAACAAAATAATGCAAGCACAAGTGTAAAAGATTTAACTTTTATATTTTTTTGAAAAATCATTAATTCCTTAAACATCAAACAAAAATTTTAAAAATAAACAGTATTCATATTTTAATCTGACACTGACAGAGTGCACAGAAGACAAAACAAAATTAACTTGCAAATTATTTTTTAAGTACAAAATTTTAAAGTGTAATTAAAGGAGTGATGAAAATGCTGCACTTTGTAGTCCTTTATAAATTTAAATGCATTCACCATGAAATAATAAAATATAGATAGTTCTAAGTTGGAATTCACAACCTCAAAAAAAAAAAGAAAAGTATAAAAGAGGGAACAACTGTAAAATGCTACAAAATATAAAATCATAGAATGGCAATGTCTATTCACAAATATTGCTTGTTTATTTAAAACATCCATTTTTAAAACAAAATGTAGATGGAAACAAAGTAAAAAAAAATCATTGGTTTATCTATCATTCAATTTTCCATTGTTTTTTTCATCAAAATCATCCTGTGAAAAAATATTCGTCTGAGAAAACTGCAAAAAATAATTTATTACTTATTATGGCTGGCAGGCATATCTAATGTTTGCATCATGTACTCATTTTAATGGAGGGTATATCTAATGGTTGTATCATCTGCACATTTTAATGGCAGGCATATCTAATGTTTGTATCATTTGCACATTTTAATGGCAGGCATATCTAATGCTTGCATCATGTGCACATTTTAATGGCAGGCATGTCTAATGTTTGTATCATCTGCACATTTTAATGGCAGGCATATCTAATGTTTGCATCATGTGCACATTTTAATGGCAGGCATATATAATGTTTGCACCATCTGCTCAATCGCAGGAATATCTAATGGTGGGATCATCTGCACATTTTTTTTTTTTCATAAATGTATTTTATTTTAATGTCATAATTATGTCTCTTTTGATAAAATTTTTATGTACAGCGCGGTGAGCCCAGACCTAGGCTGGGGTACCGCGCTATATAAGACGTCTTATTATTATTATTATTATTATTATATCTAATGGTTGTATCATTGGCTGATTGTAAGTCCCTGGAAGCAACAAATTCTGTTACATTTAAATTGAAAAAACTAATTCTTACTACTGAGGCCTAGAAAATAGTGTAAGTGCTATGGAAAGATTGAATGAAAGGTACTTCACATGGAATTAACAAAATTTTAGCAAAGAGTTATCACAAGTCTTATTTTGTAGATCTCAGATTATGGTTTACCACTGTCAGTTTGATAAGCATGTCTTTTAGAAATAACAAGGGAATGTTCCAATTTAAATTCCCGGTGCCTTTAATAGCAGTAATAAAATAAAAAATAAAAAAAAACAAGCCATCATTATCAGTACAAGTATAACTAATCTCCAAGGAAGAAGGCATTGTTACAGATTTTAAAATTTATCAACAGATTTACCTTTTTGTTGGAATTTTTTAAAAGTTATAATTTAATATAAGCTATTT